CTATTTGAATGATGTTTATGATTTTTATCTCTTAGTTACGGATGGTCAATTCAGCAAAGAACGACCGATGAATTGTTCGCGATCGCATACTTGGCAAAAAAATTTGGCGTACCTGGTTTAACAAATTTAACAGATTCTTTGTTAAAATTTCTTCCAAAATCATGGAAATCAGACGATAATGTCTGGGAAGTTGGATTGATGGTTAGCAAATGGTTAAACTTGGACCAAACTAAATTAGCTATTTTAAAATTTTTGGTAAATTGTTTATCAAACGCTGATGATAAAAATAAGACGGAAAGGATTATAATGAGATTGGGAAAAGATGATTTAAAGGAAGTTGAACGATTAATGATGGAGATTTATGGAAAATTGAATGCAAATGCAATAGGACAAGAAAGCGATGATGATAGTGAGGATAGCGTAGAATCAGATTCTTCAAAATCAGAGGCGTCGTGTGACACGACTAAAATAGAAAAGCTAGGAAATAACACGCATAAAAAGGAAACTGCCAAAAAAGATGACGAGTCCTCCAGTGAATCAAGTGATGAGTCTAGTGATTTATCTGACTCATCATCATCGTCGTCCTCGTCATCGTCATCATCCTCATCGTCATCATCCTCAACGTCATCATCCTCAACATCCTCATCCTCGACATCGTCTTCATCTTCTGATCAAGGCAAATCGAGGGAAATCAACACTAGCGTGACCACTATCACAAAATAACCTTGAGCTGCATAAGTAACTCTTGCCAAGAACAAATTTGAATTATGCAGCATAATTAAATTGATACATCAACACAATAATATTATTATATATTGTTTTTGTTTATCGCTACGTTTGAGCTTATCAAATTTGCAATATGAATTATTGTTTATCTCGTTTGCTTAAATAGTAGAAAATGTTTGTGCAAATCAGTAACGGCTTAATATGCCTTGGTGTAAAGAGTATGCATGAATAAAGTTTAATACAATATTTAATAATTGATTTTAAAGATAGCAACGGTAAGTACTGTACAGTTCTTAGTAATTTAGGTTACAGTCATTATCGTTATCGATAGCTAATTGGCGGGTACTCGTTTACAGAACACTGGATTACCAATTTTATTAAAGGAATTGGATCATTCTTTCTAAAGCTCCAATTTCTTTTTCTTTAATCATCACTTTTGTGATGAATTTTAATTACTTATGTAATATATACAGCAATTCTCTAAAAAATGAAACAAATAATTTACGTACCGTACGTGATGCAAAGATTTAGACGTTGAATTGTGTAACAGATCTGGCTTCAGAGGGCTATAATCGGAAGCTTGTATCCATTGTACTTCCGAAACATTTAACTATAGTACATAACAAACGAATTTGATCGATTTCTAATATAGAAAAACAAAAAGATTAGCGTCAAATTCGCATTAATATTATACTTTTATTAATTTGTCATACGTACTATGTAATGTAATATATCAAATATGTGTGTAAATGCTATCACCAACCTTTACAGCAAAACATAAATTCAATACTATTTTTAGGGAATACACTATTATAATTTCTATAGTAATGATCACATTACATGCACTAATTTTTTTTAGGGTCAAATCCGAAAAAATCACTTATACAATTATTGAAACGCTAATTCGTCTTCGATTAATAAATCTAGCATAAATGTATGTCTTAACGG